AGAATAATTGGATTAGCGAATTTTGACAATCATGTAGATTTCTAAAAGGTCCATCGTAAACCACATGTCTATATAGATAATAAATCTATTTTCCTATCATGGCATGAGAAGGGACATACAGTAATGAATTTTATTTTTTTTAATCCTTAAAAGTTTTTGTTGCCTTTTTTAAATTTCAATATTGCTGAGCATTTCATTTAAAATCTATAGAAAGCAATGAAAGTTTTTTTTGGGGGGGGGGGCAATATTTTCACTATCAAATAGACACTACTTACAAGAATCAAGCTATGAAGTTATGCTACAGACAATATTTATGTTTTCACTGAGGGAGCACAAGCATAAAGTGAGCATATACTTACTATGTTTAATTACACGGTTTAATACATATCGACAAAATTGGGGTTGGGGGGTGGGGGATACTGTCCCTTAAGCCTCCCCTTCCGGTTCCTACGGCCATAACATAGATGAACTCTATATGCAGCTGGAACAATTTCCCAAATAAACAGAATGTTCCAAAAATAAAAATTCATTGGCGTTTAGAACTTCTTTAGTTTTATTCAGGTTAATGTACATGTAATGCTAAAATGTTACTGAAGTATTAAAGTACTTTGAATTAGGTTTCATTCACAAACCAAAAGAAAACTTTGACTTTGTAAATGTTATTACATGATTACCTATTACTCCCCCTTTTCAAGCATTTGTAACAAGCGTTTGTGTCTGTGTGTGTCGTTTGCTTATATAGCCCCCTTCCCTTGCTTTTCGGCTAAATCTGCTTCATGTTTAATACTTTTTGTGTCGCCTGTAGAGCAACACTTAGGGATCACTTTACCCGGCGTCTGTCTGTTTGTCCGTCTGTCACACTTTATACTAGTATCTCGAGAACTATAAGATGTATATGGATTTCATATTTTGCACATACATAGCTTCTTTGAACTAGACCTTTGACCTACTTTCTGAAATGGTTGACAGTGCCGATGTACAGTGTATTTTTTACATTTAAAAATTAAGTCTATGCTACTTGTATTTAACATGTGCACTGTTTGTCATAAAACTGTTTTAAAATATATCAGCATTAAAGTCCACTTGACCTTTGACTTACTTTGCGAAATAAAGTCTCTTTTGGATTCTTTAAATTGCGTTTTAATTAATTGATAAATAATTATTCATAACATAGGCGTCGGAACCGGGAGGGGGGATAGGGGTGGCTTAAGTTAAGCGCCCTTCCCCCTCTTTCAACATGTACGTTCTACTTTGGGTCAAAAAAGTGTTTATTAAAAAATGGTGCTGTAAGAAGTTCGATCCTACCCCCTTCCCCGCCGAAATAATATTTTCATGTTTGGGCAATGGGCACATGCATTCCCCCCCCCCCTTTTTTTTTTTGCTTGTCGAGGTTTTTGCAGGTTTGAAATTTTTATGCGCCCGAATTTATTCGGGGCGTATATTGTTTTTGTCCTGTCTGTCTGATTGTATGTTTTTGTCTGTCTGTTGTCAAATTTAACCTTCGCCATAACTTTTGAACCGTGAGAGACAGAGACTTCATATTTGGTATGCATACTCCACTAATTAAACACTTTAAATTGACACCAAGGTCAATGACTCTTTAACCTTGACTGTAACCTATATGCTAAAAATAGCTTTTTCGAACTTTCGCCATAACTTTTGAACCATAGGAGACAGACTTTATATTTGGTATGCATATTCCATTAATTAAGTGCTTTCAATTAAATGACACAAAGGACAATTAATGATCGTGTGACCCTGACTGTGACCTATTTGCTAAAAATTGTTGTTAGGACTTTGTTGCCGCCGGGCGCATAGTGTTTCACAAACGCATCTTGTTTTCTCTCCTTCACTTACCCCCCCCCCCCCCCATTTTACAATCCGTAGATATTTTTTTTTCTTTTTTGCATGAACTATACATACAAGAGCAATTAAAAAACTGACCACTCTTAGATTTACTTTCATCTTTAATGAAGCTAAAAGCAGGCAACACACAACTTCATGGCGTTCCTTGGAACACTCTAGTTTTGAAATTACTTGTCACATACATGTATGATATTTTCTTGATTTTCTGCACTTGAAATCGTAAAAAATGTGCTAATTTTGAATTCGTATTTCAGCAAAAACGAGAATCAATGTAAATAACTTAATAAAGCATTTCTCGTGTTTTTTTCTTTTCTTTTTTTTTTAGTTTTGTTTGTTTTTGGATGTTTCTTTGAGTTTAAGAATTCAATCTTAATAATTTAAACATAAAAAAGTAGTGGTAATAAACGTAGGAGTTATCTTAATATCTTTTGTATTCCAGAAAGTATTGATTGTAAAGAAAACGTGCATTTATTTCAATATTTTGTCTTAAAACCTCTTTTCTGTAAGCGAAGACGGGGGGCTTATTTGTTTCCTTAGCAAAATTCAATAAAATAGTGTTGAATTTATAATTAAAATACTTTTAATTAATAGTACTCATTCTCTTTTCCGAATATTTATGAGTAGTAATTTTAAACAGCGTAAAACAAAACAAAAAAAACAATCTGTTTATTGTTAAAGACGTTTATATTTTTCATATTCTTTTACGATTATGAATCTTTGCCAAATTACGCGAATTTTTTTTTTACTGTGACGTAATACTAGCAAAGGAGCTGACGTCATTAATTAAATCAGAATTGAAATGTCCCTGTGTTCGTTATTTGTAAAATCATTACAATCAAAAATTATCTTTAGGATGTTGCTTTTCATTAAAGAATATTCAATGCATTCTGATACTTGTACATGTAAGCAAAAGTTCTGGCGTATCAACTGCACATATTAGACACAGTTCTGGCAGTAAGAGGGTTAAAAGAAATTCTTTCAAAAAAAAAAGGAGTTGTTTTTTATTTTCAAATTGATTTTATTGGAAAAAGTCAAATTGCCATCAAATAAAGATTCGGTTTCGTTTAGTAACATGTAGTGGGATTGATATGTGGATGATGATATGAACAATGAACTTGAAAAAAAAAAATCCTCAAAAGCATCAAATGAATTGTTATTCTATAATTAATTCAATTAGAATTAACACACTTTTACAATAGCAATCAATGATGAAGTGTAAATCATGCAGAGAATAGCCTTAAGCCAGTTTGATGCTTTCATCATTAAAAAGGTAAACATTAAACAACTTCTGATGTTAACATGTATGTCATTGTATCAAAACACCATGCGTAAATTGGTCTAATAGAGAAGTTGTTTGTAATTTAAAAATAATGATTATTTCATTATCATTTTCGGAGTGTGACGAAAATTACAGTTAAATGCATGCGCAGGGCTACTCAAAACAAAAAAAGAAATAAATAAACGGTTACAGTAAGTTTAATGTATTCTTTTACTGGTATGAAATAGGAAAGCCAAGAGAGAGAAGGCTCAGTCATATATAGATAAATTCTGTATACTTAGCTTGTGTATTAATCGGTCAATGTGTACTCATTGGGTTAAAATTGCAAATCGTGTGGGAATAACATACAAGACAGGGGTTCAGCACTCGGATTGCCAGGATGTGTTACGTTTTTCAACATTCTATGTTTATGTTTAAAATGTAAACCTATAATATCATAAATAAAAAGTAATATTCTCTAAAAAAAAATATTTATATAAAATGAAAAGGTAAAAACAATGATAAAGTAAAAAATTCAATGAAAACAAAACAAACCGACGGAAAGCAAACACGTGCCCCTGAAAACAACAGGGGGTGGGATCAGGTGCATTGGAGGAGTAAGCTTTCTCTGTCAACCGGTCAATCCGGTCAATCTCTTGTAAGCGCTCTGGATTTTTTTTTATGATTTGACCTTTGATTGTATGTTATGGTGATGTTGTTTTCACAATTCAATCTATGATTTTTTTTTTCAAATAAATGATCATATTCCAAATGGTGAGACAAATTTTACAGAACATTTTTAATTGAACGAGAAACAGTAAAAAAAAAAATACTTGTGAAATATGACAGTACATCTAAATAAAAATATTATAAGTACATTTTAAGATTATTTTTAAAGTAAATGATTCAAAAAAATTATTGATATAAAAATATTTTTTCATTTGAATAATTCATTACGGGAAAAAAAATAACACCTTTGGCTAAATGCATCTGTATGTATTCAGTAAATTTACGATTCAAAGGTGTCACTGTAAAATGACTTATATTATCACATTGAGCGCTAGCAACTAAAATTATACCTCTAATATTGAGATCGTGATCATTGTAAATTATCTAAAGGTATTCTAATTCAAAAGTCATCATGCTCATTCCGATGCTAAATCCAATGGTGTAGTATCTGAAATGTGCGCGTTCTTGATAAACTGTCATTCCATGAATATAACTTTTTGTAACATTAGTAGTACATAAATACTTAAATTTTTATTTTTGAGAAATGACCATATTTGAAACAATTTACGAATACATATATATTTATACATGTATATACTATAAACCATATAAAAACAGGGTATGCTTTCTGCTTTGAAAAGGAATACTTCACCTTTTTACTTGACAAATAAATAACAAATATTTGATGTACTTTTACAAATTGATTTAATAATATCAAATTATTCAAATAGTAAGAGCATTTATATAAAAATATCCGATTTGTGGACACCGCTATATCTACTATCTACCTAGAAGCAACCTTTACTGAAAATTCAGTGAGGTGTCAAAAATATCACATCGACAGTGTAAGCCAAATTTTTACAATTATATATATATATTTTTATTTTTGACTATCTCTGACAGCAAAGAGAGATAGAGAGAGAGAGATGCAAAAACTTTGCATATACAAAATACTCGTTTTAAGTTTTATATTTTTCAAATGTTTAAACTAAATGCTAAATCAAGATAAACTGTCTATTAATATATACTATAAAAACATGCAAAAAGTTAAATAATTATTTAAAAAATGAGGTGTTCCTACATGTTAGTATCACTGAACCAAATTAATTAAGTTGTATTATTATTGCATGTTTGTATTATGACTTACCTGTGGAATGCTGGCTACAATACTAAAACACCACGCCAAAATAAGCATGATTCGTCCCCTCTTATCGGCGTCGTTTAAACTCAATGGGTGAACAATGGCAAAATATCTATCTAAGCTTATGGTAACAAGTATGAAAGACGACAGGTACAATCCAAGAATTCGGAAAAACATGAGAATTCTACAGGCAGGGTCCCCCGCCTTCCAGGCCACTGTGATGTTCCAAATAATCTCAAGAGGAAGCATTATAAACGTCACCACCAGATCGGCAATGGACAAATGAAAAATGAACTGATTTACACGAGACTTGATGTTACGATTCCTAAACAACGTGATAAAAACGGTAAGGTTACCACAGGCCGCCACAATAAACATGCACGTGTACGCCACAATGGTAACCATGTTTTCGTCCGTGAAGACCAAATCCATCGGTAACACTTCCGCTGTCTGGTTTTTGCAAGAAGTGTTATTTTGAATGTCCTCGAAAGCATTTTGACAAGAAAATTTCATGAATAAAATTCCATCATTTGGAGCAGTTGTATAAACGTCAACAAAGGGAAAACTTTGATTAAAACGAATTGAAGAATCCAAATCTAGATCTGTTTCAGAACTCATCTGTATTTCACCTTAGACCACCCAAATTGTCCAATTCCAGATAAAAATCAATTCATTCTAGAGAGTATTATTGTGATAAGAATATCCAAATGTGTTATTAACTTTCTCTTTACTTGTCAAAATAAAATTCAAACCTAAGCCCGCCGACTTAGCTGAGGATACTCAGAAAAACTCCGTTTGCTGAAAACAACAGCCTCTGTTACATACAATCAATGCTCAAATCCGTGATCTCCATTGGTTCTCACTAAGCAGGCGCTGTATATTTATGTATACGCTTTAGCAGATAGAGACGAAATCATTAACAATCAATAATCATATCTGCATATTAGAATGTACACTCAGTTTGGTCCTTTACTTATTAAAATGTAAGACAAGAAGTGCTTTACTGAAGAAGAGATGAGAATGACATACAATAAAGCCAACTATACTCATTTGATACTAGTTGCTTGAGATATAATTATTTCCAAGAGCTTACATTTCCACCATGAGAATGTTGCTTAGATGTTTCAACTTTGATATTGACGACCTCTCGATATAAAGAGTGTGGTGACATCAAAGGTACAAAAAAATCAACACTATACTATAATGGTGTTGTGATTATGTTCCAATACATCTCTGTCAATTATCTGTCAGTTTTTTAAAAACATGATTAGGACTTAATATACAGTGATGTGATGGATATACTCCTAATTGCATGTATAATGATCGGCGATTCCTTGTATACTGTACAGTAGATGTGAAATACTATACGTTTTTTAATTACAATTTTGACCTCCGGGTTCCAAGGTGATCTTTAGAAAGTAAGTGTTCTTCAAATGTTATACCTTCACATTACAGTGGAATTCCTTCATTTACAAGAAGAATTAAATGAACTTAGCAAATGGTATGCCATATAACTTAAATATGGAGTATGTGGAGATAACGAACAGTATTCGAGCTCAAAAGTCCATTAAATATTACAAAATAGGAGTGCAACTAACACGGACCTTCAATTAAATTAGAGTTGGGGTCAGGTGCCATTGAGGAGTGAACATCCTTTGCCGACCAGTCACTCCCGCCGTGTGCTTCTTGTCATGATCGGGGGGAAAAAAGGGAAAATACCTCAACAACCCAGTTTGCAAACAATGATCTAACAATCAGTTTGAAAAATGTCAGTTAGCATTTGACTCAATGATAAATTGTATTTGCTGACAAGGTCATTGTATCGACCATATAATTTACGAAATGATGACTTTAAACGAGACTGCTGATATTCTTGCTTCATCAATTTCTTTGTAAATAACTTACCTCGTATTAGATTTTGTTCATACGTAAACCATGCTCTTCCGTATCGAATCAACTGAGTGATATAAACTCCGTATGCAGGTGTTTGTTTGTTTGTCTGATTGTTGTTTAATTTTCCTCTCGTGAATTTTTTACTCATATGGAGTCATTTTTGTTGTTGGGAATGTTGAAAGTATTCAAAATGAATGATTACAGAATTTGGATCCCATGTTCCTTTACTCATCAGTGGCATATAAGGGTACAATGTAGGTCCTTATGAAATTTTATCATGAAAACTCCGTAAATTCTGTTACGGCATTATGATGCTAAGGTTGCAGTTAAGGATTAGGTATCGGATTCTGTAAGCACCAATTTTTCGGATGAGTGATCAAGTAAATTTATTTCCCAGTAGATCTAATTCTTATTTTCATTAAACTTACATGGATGATAACATTTTATATTTTCCTGAATGAGTGACAAAGAAAAGATTTTGAGGCAGTAACTTGACCAATCATGTATTTATAAAGTACTGCATCTAGGGATAAATACTAGTTTAGGTTACATGTAAACTTTTCCTTAAATGTTTGAGTGGCCATCAAACTGTTCGTTATCTCCACCTTATATTTACCTTGTAATTATATTATGTTACAAGATTTACAAATGCGCACAAAAATAATTTAATTTCTATTTGGGTTGCCTAAAGCAAAACATGGACAATTTCATTCTTTCTATAATATTGCAGGGTACCCATCTCTTATCCGCAAGTACTCCTAAACTTCCGAATAAAATATAGATACTTTCACAGATTCTTTATTACATAATGCCATTGTGCATCTCCTATTTTACTTTTTATCTGGCACTTATTTCGGGTATCCCAGAGCAAAACATGGACTTTGCCATTATAATTATATGGGAGGCGGGCTTTAGTGAGGTCAGTGCACACGTTACTTCTAGTTATTCTTGACTCTGGCTACCTTGCAATCACATACTTAAAGGAGCGGACAAGGGTTTTATTGTGTGCAAACTACAATAGATAAATGAAATATATTGAGAAAACAACCAGTATACAAACTCAAAAGTCCATTAAACATTACAAACAGGAGTGGAGCAAACACTGACCTCCAAAAAATCAGCGGTGGAATCGGGTTCCAAGGAGAAGTGAGCATACCAAGCCAACCGGTCACACCCGCCGTGTGCTCCTTGTCATGATCGGAAAATAACGAAAAATCCATCCTCAATTCAGCGTTTAAATAATGGACTAATAATTAGTATAAAAAACGTCAGTCAGCTCATTGACTCAATGATAAATTGTATTTTCTGACAAGGTCATTGTATCGACCATAGAACTTACGAAATGATGACTTTAAAAGAGACTGCTGATATTCTTGTTTCATTAACTTGTTTGTTAATAATTTACCTCGTTTTGAAATTGTACGTATTTATACGTAACATGCTCTTGCTTATCGAATCAACTGAGAGATATAAACTCCGTATGCAGGTGATGTAGGTATATTTCTGCATAAGTAAGGGAAGTTGACGATTGAAAAGTTAAAGTGATCCCGTTTATCATAAAGCTTGGTGGTTAGATTACCATTGACGTCTTTTTCAAGTAAAATATCCAAATATGAAACATAATTGTCAGACTCTGTGATATCTTTCATCTCAAACTCACCGGGATATATTGTATCGATATCAGAATGAAAATAACCATTGCTAATTGAAAATACGTAGTCGATATATCTAAATGTCAAGTTGAAGGCCGTTTTCTTCTTTTCGCAAGTTAAATTTTGGACGAATTCTGCTTCAAATGAAAACAAAGTAGGAGGTCTTCTAATATCACTGCGCTATTGGTACCCATGGGAATTCCAATAGATTGTTGGAAGTCCTGGTCTCCAAAAACCACATATATTGTCGAGCATCTTTTTGATGTCAACTTCAGAGTTCTTATGTGTACAATCAGAATATTTGAAGCAAAATATAATATTACAAATGGCCAATGACAAGGTAAGTAAATTCTAGAGTTCCATTTTTATTGAAAAAGCATCTGTCGGTGATATCAAAAAGCCTGGACTTTAAGTTATTTTGGAGAATGATTGTGTGCTAAGTTGAAAAGTCGTAAGTTTTTAAGCTGTTGATATTGGTAAAATCTTGTGATTTCAAATTTTCCAAAAGTTCCTTGGAATTTACAAGCATCCACATCTGATTTACACCACTTCTCGAATATATTGTTGCACAGTACTTTGGAAGTTTTTCCTTCACTACTGTTAATATCTTTGTGAGGAGTAAAGAAATATGGTTGGTTGAACATTTACTTGAACTCGCTATGTATCTTTAAATCTAAAGATTTTTATTAAGTTTCGGAATCCAACAAAGATATGGTAATTCAAATTCATTTATGATGTTTGGGAAAATGTTCAAAACTGACATATGATTTTGACGAATGTCTTACTTGGAAAGGGAAATATGAGTATATTGAATTATCACTTGTAGAAATCTAAGTTCTTCTAAAATACAATTTATATATTGAGCCTTACAAACGAAGACAATATTGTTACCTGCTTTGTCCGTAAGGACCAGGACGTACTGATCATGTAATTATTTTCTCATTTTCTGGATTGCTATATACAGAAAAATAGACGGTTTTCATATTGCCCCTCAATCTTTTGATATACTCATTAGTTTTATAACTAACATTGACTTCAGTGCACATGCCAAGTTTGGGTAAAATCTACCGTCCAAGAATTTTAAGGGACCGTCTCAAAATACAAGAATATTTACTATAGAGGATATATCGGTAAGTGCCAATTTTTCGCCCTTTAGAGCAAATTATACAAATACTATAATAAACTTTTTGCTCAAGTTATGATATATGATAAGTAATATTATTATGTATTGTACATTATATGAAAGAAACATAAAATTTCTACCGTCTTGTTTCAGGAGTGGATATCGGAAAATGTCAAAAATTAGCGAATTTTATTTCCCTCTTTTTACGGAGTACTACATATGACAGATAACAACTTAAGGATCTATTCAAAAATAAGAAAATGATTGAGAAATTCTCAAATTTCTATGTTTTAAATTTCAAAAGCATATTTAGATACTTTTTTTCTTTATAAAATTTTTATTTCCACTTCTTAAAGATCTTTAGTTTATCATTTTGTCAAAAAATACGGCGTCAATCTTCCTATCATTTGTAGAATCGTTATATAAAAATGTAAGTAAATTTTTCAACCTGCGATTTCTTAATTTTGTAAAACATTAAAATTATGTGAAAAAGATTACTTAAGAACAGTAAATGCGCTTCATTTTACTTTGATGCGCAAAGAATTGTGCAATGTAAACCCCCCAGTGACTGATTCATGATAAATTAACAAATACCAAACAAAGATTTTATTTTATATTTAACTATAAAACTAAAAAAAAATTAAATATTTTCCAAAGATAAAAATTCCATAAATTATTTAATTTACTGTAGTAACTTAGTAGTCTTCGTCAAAAGAGTAAATTCATACTTGTCTTTTTTTTATTTTAGACCGAACAAATTAAATCATGTCCTCCCTAAGAGAAGTTACGTCGACTCGATATATCCCATTTCTTAAACTTAAAGCAAAAGAAACCACAAAGTATGTCGCATGTCTGCTTAATATTTCCTTCAACTGACTATAGACGACAAAGGCTAACTAACAACTAAATTGACAAACGAGATGACTTCTGCTTGCCATTATTTATGTAGCAATATTCCGCTATCACCTGCATTTGGTGTCTACATCTCCCAACTACTTAAGGGAATGCTCAGAGCATGATCAATTTTTAAAACCAACGCAAGCTATTCACACAAAATTTGATGTTACAGGGATTTCA